CACCTAATCTTATTTTAAATAATGTGTCTGTTTAAAATTAGAATTTACAATGGACAGAGATTAAATCTGTCATATTTGCGTAGTCACAGGGATTGAATTAATATACACTCACCGACACGAAAAAACGGGCACCTTAAAATTTTCATGTATTTTAAAGTTTAATATATTTTGTTCTAGTGGGCCGATTTTGATGATTTTTTAAGCAATTTGTAGCTAAATTATTTGAATTTTTGGTATCTCTTTCTAAATTAAAAATGACAGTTTCGATCTGTCAATTATACGAGGGAGAACAAAATGTTGATATTTTGGTGAAAGCTTGAAACACCCTGTGGAATATGATAACAATGCAAGGAATTTAAAAATAATTTTATCATCTATGTACGTCTTTTCTCGAAAGTTTGTTTCTTGATTTATCGCAATAGCTTTATTTTTATTGGAGATATTCGATTTTGAATAAGATGGTAACGATTTACAGCAATTTTAAAACACACACAAACAATAAACACACTTATAAAATAGTGTTTATTGTTTTTGTAATGTCACTGTTATTAAAAATTCATATTATTATTGTTTATTGACGTTTACTCTACTAGAGATGGTTTTAAATTCTAGACGGCTATTGCTGCTTTAATTATTGATTATGGTAGAGACACGTAGAGATCAACTTTTGCACTTAAAACCATATCTGCTAAAGTAACTGCCTAACAAACAATAATAATATGATTTTTCAAAGAAAGTGACTTTCCATAAATCATAAACACTATTTTATACGTCTGTTGACTGGGACCAAAAGCAAAGGCATGGTTTTAATGTAAAGAATACAAAAAAAAGTTAATGTCTTCTTCAAAAGCAATTATCTCCAAAAAAAGCTAGTGAGATGAATCAAAAAACAAACTATCGAGAAAAGATATATCTACATGATAAAATAATTTTTAAATTCCTTGCTTTATTAACGTACTCCACAGAGTGTTTCAAACTTTCACCAAAAGATCAACATTTTGTTTTCCCTCGTATAAATGACAGATGGCATCTTTCATTTTTAATTTAGAAAAAAATGTTAAAAAGTCAAGTAATTTAGCTACATATTGCTTAAAAAAATCATCAAAATCGGTCCATTAGAACACAATATACAGGGTGGTCTGAACTGTATTCCGTAAACTTCGGCAGCATATTCTGCAGATAAAAATAAGTAAAAAAGTTCGTATAAATGTATGTCCTAAAATGCTTAGTTTCGGAGATACAGGGTGTAGAAGTTTCATTTTCATTTCGATTTTTTCCAAATAATTTATGAAGTAACGTAAATATTTGGATGAAAATTGGTGTTTGAAGGTTTTTTGACATGAGAAATTTGATTTTGATGTCAATATGACTCCTACTTCTAGAGGGCGCCACCTACGTATTTTTTAACTGGTTTGAAGGGTATTAACTTTTAGTCCGTACCTGTATAAAACTACTGAGTAAAAAAATATACATTTACAACATTTTTTTGCGTAAAAAAGGTCTCTTGGGAAAAATCGCTACAAGTAATGGTTCTCGGGATATTTGGCATCGAAATTATCAATACCCGTCATCATTGACATAAATTAAAAATGTTGACTAAATAGTTATTAGACTGAAATCATAAATTTGAAATGTTTTTGTTTGGTTTGTGGTTTTTGTTTGGTAATCATTTCTTGACAGAAAAATTTATGATTAATTTATAAAAATAAGTATTTCCCGAATCAGTCAAATAACTATCTACTCAACGTGTGTATGTTTCGTATTTTTTTGTCAATAATGACATGCATTGACTATTTCCATTCTAAATATCTTGAGAACGGTTACTCGTAGCGATTTTTACCAAGAGATATTTTTACGTAAAAATCATGGAAATGTATATTTTTTCACTCAGTACTTTTATACAGGTATGGACGAAAAGTTATTGCTCTTAAAAACAGTTAAAAGACGTGTATGTGGCGCCCTCTACAAATGGGAGTCATATTGACATCAAAATCAAATTTCTCATGTCAAAAAACTGCCAGACACCAATTTTCATCCAAACATTGACGTTACTTCAGAAATTATTTGGAAAAAATCGAAATAAAAATGAAATTTCTACACCCTGCATTTCCGAAACTAAACAGTTTAGAACATACATTTATACTAGGGCATTCAATCCCGAAAGAAATTTTCAATCCCGGGATTTCGGGATTATAATTTTTCGATCCCGGGATCCCGGGATTGGTCCCGGGATTCACGAAAAAATTAATTACGTTGGAATTATATTATATTTTCTTTCTTTACAAAATTTTATTGAACAAAAAAAACATTAACATAAATTAAACGTCATCCCCATTACAAAACAACATAACATATAAGTTTATTTAACAAAAAAAAACATAAAAGGAACTAAAATATACATTTTTTATTTAATTTACATAACCAATCGAATACAGCATAACACAGGATTACTAAGAGATACTAAAATAACAACTTATGCAGTAACAAAGATGAGGATCTAAACTTGGTTTTTTTGGGTTTTGAAAAAATTTCTTAAAAAAAACAAGCCGATCAAGAGTATTATCAGTCAAACTAGATCTTCATCATCTTCAAACTTGATCAAACATTCAGGGTTGTTTATACGCGCATATTTTACTATCATGAAAGACTTGTGTACGATTTAAATTAAGGAAAAAATGTAATGATGAATCCCGAAAATCCCGGGATTAAAGAAAAGACAATTCCGGGATTTCGGGATTGAAAAAATGTCCGGGATCCCGGGATTGAATGCCCTAATTTATAGGAACTTTTTTACTTATGTTTATCTGGAGAATATGCTGCCGGAGTTTCCGGAATAACAGTTCGGACCCCCTTTATAAAACTTTAAAAATCATGAAAATTTTAAGGTGCCCGTTTTTTGTGTTTTTGTGCCGGTGAGTGTATTTAGGTACATAAGGAGTTATTTATTTATTTTAATCAAAACAAATAGGATTCTGTCTTGTAACTTTAATGCTATTTTTTGCCACAATATCTATCTTTTTAACTCCAAAAAAATAAAGAAGTTGGATATATTCACAATAATGTTTTCTTAAGGAATTTAATGATGCCTTTGTTACAGGTGATAGAGATAATTAAGTAATTCAATTTATTTTGATTGTAATAGTGCACGCCGTTAAATACTTTGGACGTTTCAAAAGAATTTTCCTGCTGACAATCAGCATACTCTGCATACCTGATTATAATAAGTATTTTAAAATAGATTTCAGTCACATTAAAAATCGAAAATACACTCAGAAAAATATAAGATCAGAAATGTTTTTCAGGTAAACTTGACTAAATTAGTGCAATTTTTTATACAGGGTTATTAACCACATATGGTACGGAGTATTGTAGGTAAAGGATTAGATTTTTACAAATTGTAAGTTTTGGGTTCGTTGAAGGACTATTAGAGCTACCATTTAAAAATATTTTTACAAGATACAGAGTGTCCTCCAATAAATAAAAAATATTAAAGTTGTTTTTTTTTAAATGGAACAACCTGTATATTATCACATTTTTAGTTTCTACGATTAAAATAAAGGTAAATTTGATTAAAGTTTACCGCATTTTAATCTTACCGTATTTGAAATATTTACGTTTTTGTCAAAATACAGTAACAATTTCAAAGTGTCATGCGTTCATTTCTATTTAAGAGTCTGTTTAAGTTTTTAAAACCAAATATTGTACTGAAGTTTTTCTATTTACTAAATTTTGTGTTGCAATAATCAAAATTATACTACCTTATACAGAGTGTCCAAAATATATTAAAAATGTAACAAATTTTCAAACAGTAACAGATTCTAATATTGTCCAGTTCGCTTATTTCGTTAGAAAATAAAAAAAACTGTTTTAAATAATTGTTAAAGAGGACCAATTAATATGATCCCAGTATTCAAACTACATTAATTGACTATTTACGTTGATTAATAATAATTGCTCCAAATACTAAAAAACTGATTTTTGTATGTGTATTAGACAATGTGGTAAAAAGTAACGCCTTATAAATTTTATTTCTTATTTTGACGAATGCTTATTTATCGAAAAGACGTTCATTTTCATAACTTATCCATTATTATATTGATTTCTGATTAAAATCCACATTTATTTAGAGTAATTTATTAACTAAAACAATTAGGTATGTAATTAACTAATTTTGTGTTATTTAATTGGTAGAGGAAAGGGTGGTAATATGGAACCCTGCTGGTAATACGGGACCCCCCCATAAATAAGGATTTAGAAACGCCATCTATGATTTGTTCACCAAAACGTGATCATTACGTTCCGAAAAGCCCACAGGAAGGTTTCTACCGCCTAGTATTTAACTGTGGTCTATTAATTCGAGGTTATGCTTTGGCGTCAAAATCAAATGTTATTTGCCTCTGCTTTTCACAGCCATAAAGCGATTTGTGGTGAATTTATTCGTTGATTTTGTTCATTAAATCTTGAAAGTGTTGCCTAATATCGAGTTTTGAAAGGTAAGCTTTTGTTTATTTAGATGTTCAAGAAAAAAAAATAAATTGATTATTAGCATGTGCCTTTTTGGAATATGGAACCCCTTGGTTGCTGTTAATATGGAACCTGGGTCCATATTATATACAAGGGTTTCATATTATATGCAGATTTATAATTGACCTGAGTGTATAAATTGGAATGGATTGTTGCAGATTGCACCATGCCCCGAAGTTCATTATCCCCGAAAGCAAAGGGCAAAAGGAAAACATGGGACAAACAAGCAATGGCCGAAGCTGTGGAAATGGTGCGTTCCAAGAATGGGCCTGAAAAAGGGTGTAAAATTGTATAAGGTGCCAAAAAGCACTTTGCAAAGGCTAGTTCACGACACCGAATATTCACCCGAACAAGTTGTCGAATAAAAGTTAGGTAGAAAACCCGTTTTTTCTACTGAAATTGAACAACAACTATTCGAATACTTGCTGCTGATGGAAAGCAAATATTTTGGGCTTACCCGCAGAGATGTTAAAGTAATGGCCTATCAATTGGCTGTACGAAACGGAATAAAGCATCAGTTTGAGAATAAAGAAGAAACAGGTCGTGCTTGGCTGGATCATTTTTTAAATCGTCATAAACAAAGATTGTCTATCCGAACACCAACTGGAACATCGTATGCTCGGGCGACCAGTTTCAATAGAGAATCTGTAGCTAAATTCTTTGATATCCTCGAGATGGAATCCGAAAAGAGAAAATATACGGCTGACCGCGTTTTTAACGTTGACGAAACGGGATTGTCTATAGTTCAGACCAAAATACAGAAGGTAGTTTGGTCAAAAGGGAAATGGCAGATCGGTGCGCTGACGTTTGCTGCTGAGAGGGGATCACTAGTGACCACCATTTGTGCTATGAGTGCTTCCGGCATATTTGTTCCCCCTACGCTGATTTTCCCAAGGAAAAATATGACTGAAACTCTAATGAGAGGCGCACCTCTCGGAAGTATTGGAAAATGTCATCCATCTGGTTGGGTGCAAAGCAATTTATTCACTGATTGGTTTAGGCATTTCATAAAATACACGAAACCAACAATAGATTCTACTTATCCTGGACAGACATTATAGTCATACAAGAAACATGGAAATAATAGAACTAGCTAGAGCAAACTACATAACCATAGTATGCCTTCCTCCGCACTCCACCCACAAGCTGCAACCCTTAGATAAGACTTTCATGAGAGCTCTAAAAGTCCACTATAGTGAAGAGATTCGTATATGGTTGCGTCAAAATGAAAGTCCTTTGGGTCCTTATGATATTGCCGAACTTTTTGGGAAGGCATATTTAAAGTGTCAAACTGCAAGTATTGCTATTAATGGTTTTTTTAAAAACTGGAAAGGAGAAAAATGGATTCAGTGCCTTATGTGTCAATTATGGGCACATGTTCTGTGTTCTGGTTGTGAAAAAGCCGACTGGGTCTGTGATTTTTGAGAATAAGTTTCGTTTATTTGAATTATTTTTTGTTAGTTTTGCATTTTTTGAATATAGTGAATAAATATCGCTAAAATTTTAAATATATCTGGTTTATTATAGGGGGTTCCACATTATCAGCTACTTTTTATAATTAGATAATTTGTACTATTTTATATTATTAGTTAATTATGAAAAAACTTTAAGCATTATTTAAATTCCAAAAACAAATAATAATTATAAATATATTAGGCATACATGAGCGATATGTTTGAAAAATAACGGATGATAAATTTTTGAGTTATCGAATATAAACAAACAAGGGTTCCATATTACCACCCTTTCCTCTATACTCTTTTACAAAGATTTAAATAGTTTTATTATTGTAAACAAATAGACTTGCGATATTATCGTTTTTGGCATCTGTACATTTTGTACATTTGTTGCTTTAAAAAATCAATATTCCATGGGTATATTGATAAACGAGGTCTAAATTATAAGAAAATGCATTTGAACTTGAAGAGATAGGTAAACTTGAAGAGATATGTAAAAAATGGTATGATACAATTTGATAGACAATTAAATTGTACATCTGATTCTTGTAAAATATACAAAGTTTTCTATTTTTATATAAACAAGTTTTTGCCGTTTAAAGCTAGTAATTATTTAAAATAAATTTTTAGATACTCTGTATAAGGTAGCATTATTTTTATTATTGCAATACAATATCTAATCAAAAATAAACTTCAGTAAATATTTCACATTAAAAACTTTCATACCCTTGGAGAAATGAAACTTTAATATTTTTAGTACAATTTCACAAAACTGAAAATATTTCAAAAACGGTAAGGTTTTAGTGTGATAAACCTTAACCAAATTTACCTTTATTTCAATCGTAGAATTTAAAAATAAAATAATATACAGGGTGTTCCATTTAAAAAATACAACTTTGATATTTTTTATTTATTTGGAACACTCTGTATCTTGTAAAAATATTTTTAAATTGTAGCTCTAATAGTCCTTCAACGAACTCAAAGTTACAATTTGTAAAAATCTAATCGTTTAGCTACAATACTCCGTGTCGTGTGTGGTGAATAATCCTGTATACCTATACAGGGTGTCCCAGAAATAAGTGTAGATATTTTAACTGGTAGTATATTTCGGCCGCAGAAACACGCCTATGAGTTTTTATTTCAAAAAATTTTTTATATTTTTCTTGACATTTTCCGAATTTTTAAAAACTTTTTAGTGCCACTTGTTTATTCACCTGAGGCGTCGAATAAGCTGAAAAACCTAGTGAAAACTCCTTAATAGCCGGTTATCGCCAGCGGTTCTCAAAATGTTGCCATTTTTTTTTTTAATTTTCGAAGTTTTTTTAAATTTTCGAAGTTGCGTTTTTTAGTCAATTTAAAGTGTTATATTTTTATTTTCAAATTTAAAGTGTTATATTTTTATTATTTTTATCCCTATTTTCATAAATAACCATAAAATAAATAGGGTGTTTTAGAGTTAGGGTAAAAAACAACCCCTCGATTAACCCTGTATAATATGCCAAATACTACAGTTTATAAAAAAACTCATTTTACGAATTAAAGTTGATATAATTATATACAGCTTGCTAAAAAATTCATGAAAATAGGGCTAAAAATAACAAAAATATAATACTTTAAATGTAGCCAAAATTTTCTACGTTACGTTTTTTCTTGCATCTGAGTGTAGCTCGGCTATTTTCAATTTATTTTAAAAATAGTATAGAGAAAAGATGTTTCTTTTGACCAGATCTATCACGCCTTAAAATATCTGCACTTATTTCTGGGACACCCTGTATGTACCGTCGATGATAAGGTACTTATTTATGAATTTCTGGAACAGTGTGAAATTATAATAATATAACTATTAAAAAATACCTTTTGAATCTCAGTTTCGTTTTTGGTGGTTTTAAATATTATACTTTGAAAATATATTCAAGAAACGTCTGATTCTCTCCTAATAATTTACTAAATATTATGACGATATCGTTGAGTTTCTGGAAAAATTTCCTCCTTTTATTAAATGCTTTTGTATCGGAATAATATTTAATTAAAATCTTATCGCCGATGATTTCAAACTTTCAAATAAATATCCTCAATTTTACAACGTAACATAACAAACACAGTCACGTTTTTTTTCTCTCTTCCCGCTAATAGATCGTTAATAATGGCTTGTTAGTATCGTACTGTTATCTTTTTTTTATTATCTCAAGACTTACCAGTAGTTGTCAGCCGAGCTAGAGTTGAACGACGTGCGACTGCAGGGCGAAGCCTCCGCAGTGGATACTGGAGCTTCGAAATCATGGCAAAACTTATATAGTAGCTGTTCAAACAATGTGTTGTGATCGCTAAGTAAACACATGTACGCTTTAAATTAATTACCGTTTAACAACAATTAAACTAAATTGAGATGAGTAGGGGCTATTCTTGAGCTATTCTGCGCGTTTTTCGGTATTCTTCTGTATACAATCTCTGGCCCTATAATGCCGAAAAGACGACTGCATTTTTTACGCTTGATTTGTTTCAGTATTATTCGGTTTGTACTAGATCCGTACTAGGATTGAATTGTGTCTAAAGCCGGACTTGAATGCGCCTTTAAACGACTCGTGTACCTATTTAATATAATAAATATTAAATTTGTTATTGGTATACAGGGTCCGGCAATAGAGCGACGGGCATCTCTAGCTCCTATAATCAGGGCCGGATCTCCCTACGGGCTGTTTGGGCTGCTGCCCAGGGCCCCGGGGTTACAAGGGGCCCCCAGGCCCCGCGAAAAACAATAGACCCATAGGTAGGAACTGTTGAATCGTGAAATAAAATTAAAATTCAGGTTAAAAGTTTAAGCCAGACAAGATGGCCTTGCCACTATGATGCTGTCAAAGCCTTAAAAAATAATTATGATGACATTATGAAAATTATCAAAAGTTTCAGCCAAAATGAGGTTGAGAAAGTTGATTTCCGGAAAGAGGCACGAAATTTATTCAATAAAATGGCGAAACTCGAGACTGCAATTTTGATTATCTTTTGGGAAGAAGTTTTGGAGAGATTTCATTTAGGTTAATAAAAAAATACAGAGCCCTGGTTTAGACATTTGTGAAGGCAACAAGTTAATTGTTTCTTTAAAAGACTTTGTGAGCAACATACGACATCAATCAGATCAAATGTTACAGGAATACGACGAAAAAGCTAAAAAATTAAGTACTAGTGTAATAATAGACTACAATTACATAAACAAGAGACATATCCCAAAATTTTCAGATAAGTCTACAGGTGAATTCTCAGTATACGGCGCAGAAAGATTTAAAGAGACACGTTAAAAGTTGCGTTGGATAAGCTGATTATGGATTTAAATAAAAGGAGACAAGTCTATGAGACATATAGCAAAAAATTCAAATTTTTAATGGATTTGCAAGACAAAAATATCGAAAACATAGATTTGGAAATTACACTTCATATTATTGATTACAATCCCGATGACGTAGACGAGCATTTAGTGAATGAGTGCATTCAATTAAAATCATACTTACTCCAATCTATGTCTGAGTCTTACACCTCTTGCAGTGACATTTTTATGCTCATGTATGAAAATAAACTTATTAACGTGTTCCCTAACTGCTATACCATTTTAAAGATTTTTTTAACATTGCCAATCACTAGCTGTAAAGCAGAACGCTCCTTCTCCAAGATGTCCTATGTAGAAAATAAATATAGGACAACAATGTCTAACCATCGACTAAATAGTTTATCACTTCTTTCCATAAATTGTGATCTAACTAAAGACTTGGAATGTGATGACCAAATAACTGTCAATTTCTGTGACTACTACCTATCAATTTATTTTACTAATTCATAATAAGTAAATAAATAAAATTGTTTTATTGTTTTTTTATATTCTTATAAAATATCACTATTTCGGTTTCTCTCTCACCCAAAGTTTGCCTGGAAGAGATTGCTACCACAGCAATAAGGTCGCCTTTTGTACAACTAATACTTGCGTAGATTTAAGTAACATTTATGTTACTTAAATCCACATATCACAAATACCGAAGTCTACAGCAGAATAGGCAGAGAAAGAGAATTGCTCAATATAATAAAAATAATAAAAACATCATACTTAGGGCATATATTGAGAAATGAAAAATACCACATCTTACAATTGATAGTTACGGGTAAGATTGAAGGAAAGAGAGGTCTCGGCAGGAAGAAACTATCTTGGTTGAGAAACATCAGAAACTGGACTCACCTAACTTTTGAAGAACTTATAAGGAAAGCCGAGAATCGTGAAGATTTTGCCAATGTGATCGTCAACCTCCACGAAAGAGACGGCACGTAAAGAAGAAGAATAATAATATATCATTATAGAAACAGTTTTTTGATATGGCTATTAGTTGAGTACTTATGTAGGCCCCTAAGTAGTTTCAGCCCAGGGCCCCACAAATTCACGATCCGCCCCTGCCTATAATAAACCTAAGGTATGTATATATTAAGGTAGATTCTCACTATACCTTCCGTTTCCATTCCATATCCGTTCCGTATTTTTTATTGTATTGACGCTATATGTAAGCTGCCGTTCCGTATCAGTTCCATACTTTTTATTGTACAATTTATTACATTACGAAAGATTTATTTTAAAAATTTGTATCTTTTGAAAAAGGTCCGGTTGAAAAGGATTTAATTAAGAGGTGAAAGAATAAATAAATATCAGCAAAATTTTAGCAAATCTGGTGCAAATGTAAGAACTTGACAACGCTGTTTTCGATACGCTTCAGTCCGTCCGCCAAAAAAATGTATGGAAGGAAAGGATATGGAACGGAAGGGCAACGGAACGGATAGTGTGCATTGTCCTATTCATTTACATGAGATAATATTTTATGTAAACGGAAGGAAACGGAAAGGAGCTGATATGGAAGGCATAGTGAAAACCAACCTTTAGGATTTATTTCCGGAAAATATTTCTACAGGGTGGCTCAAAAATGTGTGAGTGCATCGGGTTGATTTTTTTTTAATGGAATACACTGTATATTGCATTTTTGGCTTCATTTCTTATCACTTTACAAAATCCAAAGATATTATTAAATATGTTTTGATAGTTTTAGAGATATTAATAAATAAATAAAAAGAATATATATTTTTTCATACACTCATCGGCACGAAAAACGGGCAACTTAAAATGTTGGTGTATTTTAAGGTTTAATATATTTTGTTTTAGTGGGCCGATTTTGATGATTGTTAAGCAATTTGTAGCTAAATTATTTGACGTTTTAGTGCCTCTTTCTAAATTGAAAATGAAAGTTTTCATTTGTCAATACGAGGGAAAACAAAGTGTTGATATTTTGGTGAAAGTTTGAAACACCCTGTGGAATATGTTGACAAAGCAAGGAATCTAAAAATAATTTTATAATCTAAGTACATCTTTTCTCGGTAATTTGTTTTTTGATTCTCCTCAATAGCTTTATTTTTATTGGAGCTATTCACTTTTGAATAAGACAGTAACGGTTTACATTTTTTGTAGCACTGATTTTAGGTCCTAGTCAACATACTTATAAAATAGTGTTTATAATAGTGTAATTTGTTTTATTGTTAGTTTAATAGCGTTATTTTGGACTTATGGAATATGAAATTTGGAATATGTTTCTTTTATCGAGATCTACCACCATTATTTCAAAAATACAAAATACTTGCACTTATTTCTGGGACACCCTGTATAAAAAATGCAAAAAATATAAAATCTAGATAAATAATAAAAAATATAAAAGTCAAATAATTTAGCTACAAAATCATCAAAATTGGTTCACTAGACCACTATATACAGGGTTGTTCACCACATACGACGCGGAGTATTGTAGCTAAACGATTAGATTTTAACAAATTGTAAGTTTTGGGTTCGTTGAAGGACTATTAGAGCTACAATTTAAAAATAGTTTTACAAGATACAGAGTGTCCCAAATAAATAAAAAATATCAAAGTTGTGTTTTTTTAAACGGAACACCCTGTATATTATTACATTTTTAGTTTCTACGATTAAAATAAAAGTAAATTTGATAAAGATTTATTACACTTAAACCTTACCGTTTTTGAAATATTTTCAATTTTGTGAAATTTTGGACATTGGGGTCGCACCACTCTGGCACTTTGTGCCATTGTATCGGTTTTTTAATCGCGGTGCGATCCCTTTAGACACACATTTATTAATACTAATATTATTTTTTAAAACTTAATGGGGTCTAATAAAGAAATTTGAATTTGAATTTGAATTTGAAATTGCAGTCAAAATTTTAAGGCTTCATTTCTCCAAGGGTATCAAAGTTTTTAATACTAAATATGTACTGAAGTTTATTTATTGAACAGTTATTGTGTTGCAGTAATAAAAATTATACTATCTTATACAGAGTGTCTAAAATTTTATTTTAAATAATTACTAGCTTTAAACGGCAATAACTTGTTTAATTTAAATGGAACACCCTGTATATTTTATGAGAATCAGATGCACAATTTAATTGTCTATCAAATTGTATTATACCATTTTTTACCTATAGCTTCAAGTTTCCGTAGAAAATGCATTTTCTTGTAATTTTAAATTCATTTATCAATATACCCATGGAATACTGACATTTTAGATATTTTTAAAGATGTACCAAATTTTTAAAGAGTATAGATACTAATATTGTCGATATAGTTTGTTTATTTCATTAAAAAATAAAAAAACTGTTTAAATATTTGTTAAAGAGGACCAATTAATATGATTCCAGTATTCAAACTACATTAATTGACTGTTTGCGTTGATTAATAATAATTGCTCCAAAAACTAAAAAACTGAATTTTTTATGTGTATTAGACAGTGTGGTAAAAAGTAACACCTTAAAAATGATATTTCATTTTTTGACAAATGCTTATTTGTAACAACAGAGACATTCATTTTTATAACTTATTATTATATTGATTTCTGATTCAAATCCATATTTATTTAGAATAATTTATTCACGAACATAATTAAGTATGTAATTAGCTAGTATTTGGGCGGAAACAATGGTGGTATATTTAATTAATGGTATACTCTTTTATGAAGATTTAAATAGTTTCCTTTTTGCGTACAAATGGGCTAGTAATATTATAATTTTGTCAAAAACGAAAATATTACTAGCCTGTACATTTTGTACATTTGTTGCTTTAAAAACAATCTAAATGGGTATATATCTTACATGGGTATATTGATAAATGAGGTCTAAATTATTAGAAAATACATTTTCTACGAAAACTTGAAGGTATAGGTAAAAAGTGGCATAATACAATTTGATAGACAAATAAATTATGCATCTGATTCTCCTAAAATATACAGGGCGTTCCATTTAAATTAAACAAGTT